TGTGTGTGTGTGTGTGTGTGTGTGTGTGTGTGTGTGTGTGTGTGTGTGTGTAGATATATATGTATATATATACATATATACATATATTTATATGTATATGTATATGTATATGTATATGTATATGTATATGCATATGTATATGTAGATAAATATGTATATATATATATATATAGGCATTTTGCCGCCCTGCATACATTCTAGATAGAAAATCACACTTATACCAACTACAATTGCAGACATTCTAGATATATAATCTCACTTATACCAACTACAGTTGCACACATTACAGACATCTCAGAATTCCTAACACATAACACATTACAGAACATTTGCGACCAAAACGCCGAATGGAGGTGACCGCAGTGGTTGGACGGACACGCCCCAAGCCATTGCGGAGAGACGCCAGAAGGCTATGGAACGTATACAGAACGGGACACAGGACAATGTGAACGCAAGACAGGACAAAACCAAGTCACTACGACTCCCCGGGCAGACGGCGAGAGAGCGGGAGATGGCCGCTATGGTACAGGAGTACAATGTAATTACCGGTTGGGACGATTCTGTGTATATGTTTGTACATCCATTTGTGTGGCATATATTTATATGTGTGTATTTGTATATACATTTGTGTGTATATGTTTGCCATTTGTGTGGATAGTGTATATTGAGTATGGTCGATTAGTATGCCCCATATACCTCGTTTCAAGATTAAGTGTGTGTATGTATACAGTGCATAAGAGTACACATGTGTTTGTATAGTTATTGTATGTATGCATTTGCACAGTGGATGAGTAACCACGTGGACGTCACTGTGCTTATGTGTTCTGTGAAAGTAAACCCTAAACCCTAAACCCTCGAAACTAGACCCTAAGCCCACACTAATTTATTTCGCATGCATAGTCTCGTTTTGGCCACGTGACAGCTATGTTCTAATATTGTACCCGTAGGCTTCGTATGCGCCTGTGTGTCCGTCAGTGTCTTCGTCAAAGTACCACCCAGCTTCTCAGGGACGCGCCTGAGTGAGTGCACGTTGTTTGTTTTCAGGACGGCTTGCCTACATAGGAAGGTGCTCTACTACCACCCGCACTCGCATTTGTTTGCACCCGTGACCGTGAGTCTATGTTTCATTCAGAAGGCTATGGCATATACTGTATATGCACACGTAGCCTCTGTAGCCGTCTGTGTTTTCAGTTTTGATAGCCCTGTCGAAGTTCCGCCGAGTGTCGCAGGGACATATGAGTTTGCTTGTTCAGGGCGGCTTACCTACATATGAGGGTGCTCTACAATCACGTGTCTTAGTTTGTACGCATGTGTAAGTGCGCTTATATATATATATATATATATATAATACATTAAAGTGCAATTGATATGTGGCGCATATGGTTGTGTATAGTGGTGACTTTCCTCAGATTGAGCATTCAACAGCACTCAGGATGTGGATGTACATAGTGACACTCAACATGGACATTTGCGACACAAATCAAATTAACAAGCTTTCCCCTAATATACACCACCCCACACTCGATGTGAATGTGCATGTAAGTACACTATTGTCCTCCATCCTTGCATATTTTGGTCCCACGCATCTACCCGTTGTTAATGCACAACACATAAACACACATACACACATGCTGTCGTTTCTGTAGGCCACCTCCAGAGTCAAATCGCTGATGGAGATGCACGGGGAGAAGTCACAGAAGGCTGTGGCAGAGTTACAGGAAACTAAGATGAAGGGAGGCAAAGGCTTTGACAGGGACAGAGATATGAACCTCCGTCAGGTCGACGATAAGAAGTTCAGAGAACTGACAAGTGCGCCCGGGAAGGGCCTGACGTCGATGTTTGGTAGTGGAGAGTCCCGGTTTTTGTAGATATTAAAACCGGTTTTCAGATCGATTTCCCTTCTTGGTTGAATTCGATATAACACCTCTTGGTGGGTGCGGCCAAGTTTCTATTATATACACCATGTGTCCCATTTTTTTTATTGACACCAAAGGAGATGATTATATAGTCGTCAACATCCAAACACGATTAATCTAGTGGCGGTGACGTACCTGGACAATACTGCGGTTAGGGTTTCTGTAAATGTATTGTACTTGCGAAAGTTCTATACATACAAGGTTTTCTTGTGCATATATATGTTGAAAGGGCATATCGGTCTTATCTGATATTCATACAATATTCGCCTACATATGAACGATTTCGTCGTACGTATACCTAAATATAACGAAAGCATTTTTTTCTTTGCAACAGCGTCGCATCGACCTTCAAATCACATTTGTATCCCAAAAATTTCTAATTTGTCATATATTTTATTTTATATACACACTTGCCTTCTCTGGCAAGTGTTTGTGAAACATTTCTAAGATGGGTTGCTCACCTAATGTCTATTATATAGCAAGTGTCTCGATCTACATGCCCACACTCATGGTACTCTGATTGCCATCCCTGGCTGGGCCCATTGACGTAGTGCTTTGAGTTCCACCGACCGACATAACACTGTGCGAGTTAACATGTGCAAAGCTCTGCTCCTCCTTCTTGTTCTTCTGCTTCCTGCGGTACATAACCACACCCACAACGGCACAGCAGCAGCAGCAGCAGCACAGTAGCAACATGGATAGAAGTGCAGCCAAAAGCGCCCCACTGCCCTCCTCTTCTTCGTTGCTGCTGGAAGCTCCAGCGCCCGTGCCGGTATTGGACAGCTTGGGGAAGTCCTTCGCGTTGTAGATAACACCAGCCGGCGCCTCCACATTGGCCTCTCCCGACTCTCGGCGGTCCAAATCGTTCTGGGTCAGGTCCAGGAAGTTCTGTCCTCCGACCTCACGACGACGACGACGGCCAGAGTTATCCATGTAATCACCGAGCACGGTGAAGTTGAACTCCAGGCTTGAACCTTCGCGATCCGATGAGGCGCAGGCCATATCCACGGTCACCAACATAGGGAAGTTGATATCGGCTGCTGGGAATTGCAGAGGTCCGTAGCCTACGAAAGTCTGATCGAGGTTGGCGGATGTGACATCGATGTCGTCGCCGAACCATTTGTAGCCGGTGCAGTCGACGTTCGGAGATGTGCGCACAATCTTGATGATTTCAGCGTAGTCGAATCCTACACCAGACTCGTTAGTCCATAAGTGAATGGTCCAGTACGACATGTCGCCGAGTGAGAAGATATCGTTGGGACGGTTACCAACGTAACCATCGGCAGGCGCGGTGTCAGGACGAAGGGTGATAGTGGGTGTGAAGAGAGCCTCGAGCTGGAACATGTCGTCGCAAAGGTCATTGGAATCGATGGCAAAGTACAGATCAGCGTCACCCAAGATTTGAGGGCACTCCAGGGATTGTCCGTTGCTGTCGTTCTCGATGCAGCCGAACTGCAAACCGAAGATGTAGTAAAGACCAGACAAATCGCACGCGGTGATATCGAATGTAATTGACTGTACACAAAGTTCGCCCGCATCGATATCGGAACAGGCCTCGGTCACTCTCCAAGCTCCTGTGCTCAACTCTCCATCATCCGTCTGGTTAAATAGAACCTCACCGGTGGCACCGGACATAACAGTGTAAGGAGATGGCACATTGACTTGCAAGACAATAGTAGATTGGTTTTCGCTGATAGACATTATATCTACAGATGTGATTGCGGCTTCAAGATCGGCGTATGGCCACTTGGGCTCGATGGTGGCAGCGACGTTGGCAACTCGATCGATCTCAATCTTCAAGTGAGTCATGGCTGTACCGGTACGATTGACAGGGACTCGCAGCGCGCTATCATCGTCAATCATGGTCACGAACTCATCAGACCAGATCTTGAGATCAGACTCATATGTACTCATTGTAGGGTAGTCAGTCTCTACTACGCCACATACCGCGAAGTTGGACATAAGAACAGAGAAGCCTAGATCTGCTCTGCAGTTAGATAGGATGTCCACGAATGGAGCAATAAGCTTGCCACCTTCGTAATCACAGTCGTCAAACATAATATCTTTCAGTACTCGTGTATTGAATAGATTACCGATTGAACCTACGACATTTAGTGCACCTTCAGTGATACCCATCTTCATCGTACCGGCGGTGTTGTATGTGACTGGGGGAAATAGAACATACTCAAACTCAGCCGTAAGTGCAATGGGCTCTTCTAGGCCACATTGTGTTCCAGCACTGTCCTCAATCAGAATATCTTCCAGAGCGAACTCAGCTAGGTTATTGATGGAAAATAAGACTGGAGTGGAAGCTTGAATTACTGCCATATTATTGGGGTCGGCAGATCTGATGGTCACAGCTTTGCTGATTTGTATAGCTGCAGCTTCCTGATATGTACCTGCTGCTAGTACGAGTACATCACCGTCGGCTGCCTGGTCGATGGCAGCGGATAGGGAATTTGCACCAGCAGTAACGGGTACATCAACCGCTGAGACTACTGCCGCAGCAGTCGCTAACAAAAACAGTTGACTAAGCATGTTGTTTGAATGAGGATTGAATCAAATTCTAAAGATCAGACAATGAACAACTGATAGTCCTGTTCCATGTGACATGTATATATACTGTTATCCGCCACTTCTAAATATTAAAATAAATTGCAGCATAGCAGGGCAGGGCGGCAGGCCCGAAGCAATGGGGAAGTGTTCTTTTCGCTCCAGATTTTTACTGTTATTTCTTTTAAAAGCAAACCATTTTAAACTAGTTATGCTCGAAGAGTATGGTAACTACTCCATATAGCCTATTTTTAACATTTTTTGGGAAAAGTTTCTTTGATAGACTCGATTGTCAGTCGATCTCAAAACTTGAATGAATCGATCAGCATTCCATTGGGATAGGTTTAAACAAGTGTATTATAAAAATACTTTTCTGCTCTTTTTGTTTAAGTTTTGCCTGAGAGGCTAAGACTGACGACTGTTTTCGCTGTGATTGTCATTGAAGACATTCCAAATTTTGTTCAGGAATTTGCCTTTTTCTTAATTTAACTTTTAAAATTCTCAAACTTAGCTCTATATGTGTACCGACTACGTTTTTAAATATAAAACTGTCTTTCACGCTTCACCAGTGAAAGAAAAAGGAATTGGTACATTTTCTCAGCATAGTACGTATTTTCGATTTTCAGTTGCGATTTGCGAACTATACTGTTCGCTATTTAAAAAAAAACAAATATAGTTACGAAAAATATATGTGATTAATACTACTCAAAGAGTTCTTTTTTTTAAAGGGTTAATATTTTCCACTTAAAAATGAGAAAACTATATATATATTGACTCTAAACTCTATAAAAGCATAATTTTCGGCCTTCTAAACAAACATCCATCTCTCAAATAACGTCAAAGGGCATATTTATTTACATAAATATTAAATAAGTTCTGCTTTTATAATAAACGTTAAAACTTTTATTTGGGTTATGGCTTGACCTAAAAATACCTGCCAATTATATATAATTTTAAAGTTCAAATTATTTTTTTTGGTATAAAGAATAAAAAGGTAAAACGTATAAAAAAAACAATGAGATGTTTTGTGCGCGCGGCTGCGAGTGCTGCGACAGTGAGAGGGGCTGATGGCAGCGGTCAGCGAGGCTGCGTCTGCGACTCTGCGTGCGTCCCTGCGGCCTGCGAGTAGTGCGAGAGTATGTATAATTTGGTTTTTGTTTTTTTATAGAAAACCCAAAAAGACGAGGCCTGAAGGCTGAGGCCTGAGGAAGCGTGTCTGCCTCTCTGCCACTCCGGCTCTCTGCATATTAAGCCTTCTAAATAAGACAGTTACATTATACATAAATATGCTCTCTGTGCCTAAAAAAAAAAATGCCTATTCAGACTTTCATAGCCTTTGGACTTTCAGCCTTTGTTTGGTCCGTTGGAGCGGTTTTGTGGCAACCTGAATCAGCGTATTTACGGACACAATGACAATACAATATACATACACATAACCCTCTGAAGTTCTGTATTTCTTCGTTTTTATTTAGTGGGGGGGGGGGGTTCAAATATTTTGATCATTAATAAAAGTAGAGATTCTTTTGTAGAGATTCAGTCCATGGGGCCGTCTACAGTAGTCCAGTAGGACTGCCTGATAGATTGATAATTTTCGATGAGATATCAACATCCAGACACGTTCAGTAGTCTTGATTATTTATTTAGATGAGAAGCAGTAGTACACATTATATTTTATATACATAAATATACATGTGCGTGTAAATAGTTTGCTGTGCAAAGGCCCCCAGTTCACAGAGCCTCACTGGGTTCACACATACAACAACAACATGCTAGAGAGAGAGAGAGAGAGAGAGAGAGAGGAGGAGNGT